CCAGTGGTCTCGCCTGAAACTTCCCCACCGGCTGTGATCCTGAAACTCGAAATTCACAACCGCTGCAAGGACGGAGGGCGATTCGTTCTCAAAAAAGAGCTCTCGCATCATCGCCACGCACATTCGCCCTTGAAGTTTGCAGCAGCTCCAAGGATGGAGGAGGACGCTTTCTAAGTTGAGCTATCGCTTCAGCGCCGCGCGCATTCGCCTTTAACGCTTGCAACAGCTTCAAGGATAGAAGGGGGGGCGTTTTGAATATAGACTTCTCGCCTCAACGCCCCGCATGTTCGTCGTACAAGTCAGCAGGAGTTCCAAGCATGGAGGGCGGTTCTCTTTCAACATGAGGTTTTCGCATCAACTCCACGCTCATTATTGTCTTACTGTTCTAAATGTGTCAAGAACGATCCTGGCGAAAGACACAACCATATGCAGTTGTGAGCACCGTGGTTGTATGCACCGCATTCGGTGGAGCTCCACTTGGGGCCATGAAGCGTGAGAGGCGTGTGCCTACATGGGTGCGGTGGGCGAACGCGAACGCTGGCATTTGGGTTTTCGGTGGAGCTGTGGCACAAAACGTATGAGCGGTGTGCCAAAATTGGCGCGGTGAGCGCACGTGAGCGCTGGCGCGAGGGCCTTCGGTGGAGCTCCCTATGGGGCCACGAACCGTGAGAGGGGTGTCCCAAATGGGCGCGGTGGGCGCATGCGAGAGCTCCCTATGGGCCCATGAAGCGTGTTAGGGGTGTGCCACAATGAGTGGGGTGGGCGCACGTGAGCACTGGCACTTGGGCCTTTCGTGGAACTCCCCGTGGGGCCACCGAACGATTGAGGCGTGTCCCAGAATCGGCGCGGTGGGCGAATGCGATCGCGTGCATGTGGGCGTTCGGTGGAGCTCCCGATGGGGCCACGAAGCGTATGAGGGGTGTTCCCAAGTGGGCGCGGTGGGCGCATGCGAGCGCAGGCATGTGGGCCTCTGGTGGAGCTCCGTATGGGGCCACAGAACGTGTAAGGGGTGTACCAAACTGGGCGCGGTGGGCGCGTGCGAACGCTGGTATGTGGCGCTTCGGTGGAACTCCCTACGCGGCCACGACACGTGCGAGGGGCGGCACATGTGTCCCAAAACGGACGCGGTGGGCGCATGTGAACACTGGCGCTTGGGCCCGTAGTTGAATTCAATCTGGGTTTGGTTCATCTTAAAAACGCCTTCGGCGTCTTTGCTGACGTTGTGTAGTTTGGGCTCTTGATAGGCTGAAAACGCTAAGAAACGCTACGTGTTTCAGGGTTTGTAGGGTAGTTTTGGGGGGCGTTTTCGGGTTCGTCGCTGTGGTGCAGCGTTTCATTGCGCTGTTTTGCATATCGTTGCCAGCTGGCTCCCAAGGTCCCCGCCCTGCCAAAATTCGCCCGTTTCAGCCTCCCCCTCCCTTTCCCTTTTCCCAAGTCGAAGCACTTGCCTTGATCGATGAGCTGCGTACACGGGGGGGGGGGGAACCGATTCCCGCGCGGAAACAAACAAAAACTCTGACAACGGCCTAACGCCGGAATTGGGGTGGCAGCGGGGGGGCGCGGGCTTCCGCGACGAGCCACCAGCGACGGCCACAGAAACGCAAATTCGTATAACGAAAACGATAGACACGCAAAGGAGAAGGAAACACGTAATCCGCGGATCGGAACACGCTATAACATGAGATGAACACGCCGAAACAACGCATACATGTTTTAGCATGTTCAGCGTTTCTTTTGAGACCTGAAAGCGCTGAAACCTGATTTCCAAAACGCCGAGCTGAAAATGCATCTTCTTCTTTTTTTAGCAAAAAAAAGCGCCCTGGGCATATTTCATGTGAAGCAAGCCCATGGGCCCACGAAGCGGGGCGAGCCAAAGTGGGGGGTAAGGGGGCAGGACGGGACAGGACATCCGCATAAGAAGGTCAACGTCGAAACGCCTGCAAATGAGCTGCGGGGCACGACATGCAACATCCCCTGCGAGTTTAGTGCGCCGCAGACCCAGACTTCTCATGGGGCCAGCAAGGGGCATGCCCCGACGCTCAAGGTGCGAGCTCCGAGGTGGCCCCGTGAGAGAGGCTCGCTACCTTGCGAGTGCGAGTCCCTACGGGTCAGTGCGGGGGGAGTAGCTGTTGGTCCTCTCGCGCGCCCATTCCGAGGGGGACGTGCCGGGCGAGACGGGCCCCCAAGCAGGGGGAGGACGACGACGCGACCTCACTCGACGCAGGGGAAGGAGAGAGCGCAGGAGGCCCCTTCGAACCGAGCTTTTGCTGGGGGGCCGAATTATTTTTCTGCATGCGTCCTGCAGTGCCCGCGCTTCGAACAGAACCCCTCCCTCTCGAGACTCACTTCCTGAACGTGCCGGCCGATGGTCGAACCACGCACTGTCGTGTCCGACACAATCCTGTGCTGCAACACTCTGTATCCAGATTCTCTGTGGTACTCCAATTGCACCTCTGCGGTACCCCCTCCAGTCGGCGTGTAAGTCGGGGCGAGCAAACCTACTAATTGTCGCGGCGTGTGAGAGGCTTCCAAATCTGCGACGCTGATCACGCACCGCTGTCTTTTCGCGGGAGGAGGGGCCCTTAAGGATTATTCTCCAATGGTCTTTGCGGGTGCCTCGTTTTCTACTCGTCGCCCCAGTGGCGGCGCACCTGTCGGCGCCCAAATAAAAAAAAGACGCACATCTGCGCAAGCTCCCCCCCTACGGGTCCGCGCGCCGAGATGCCCCCGCTAGCGGCGGTCCCTCTGGACTCATCTGTCGCCGCTGGGGCGGCGCCGTCCTGCCTGCCTGGGGTCGCACTCCGAGATGCCCCCGCTGGTGCTCCTCCTGGCTGCGCAGGCGGGCGCCCTCGCGCGCGGCCGCTGGAGCTAGCCACCTCGCCTGACTCGGCGCGCATCTCGAAGATCCCGGCGCCGTCCAGCGGGGCGCCCGTGCTGTCGCGGAGCTCCCGGCGTTTCTGGAGCCTCTCGACCTCCCGGTGCTCGAGCTGCGCGGCTGTCTTCAGCTCGCTCGCGGCTGCCTCCATGACGCTCTGCATTTTCTCCGCGCCGTTCGTCGCGATCCGCAACGCAAGCTCGCGCCAGCTGCGCGTCGAGACGTACTTCCTTCCTGCGGCTTGCCACGCGTCCACTGGGCATTCTGCAATCAGCGCGCAGCCCTTGACCTGGCGCGTCATCGGGGAGGCAAGCGGGATGCTCGCACAGCTCTTCTGGCAGCCGATCTCGGGCCACTTCTCGTAGTCCCCGTTGAAATCGTTCTTCATCGTATCCACCCAATCCTTCGTGAGCTCGTCCTCTGGGAAGCTCCGCCGCGCCGTCGCAAGCGCCTTCCAGTCCACATTGCAGCAGAATCTCCACTGATCGCCCCTCGAGGTAGCGCCGGGGCCCCTCCGCCGCAGCTTGGGCCCGCGCGAGCAGGCGCAGTCCTTCTGCGCGTTCCAGCACGCGCTCCTCCTGCGCGCGTCGCGCAGCTGCATGTTGTCGCTCCACTTGTCCGCGAAGCCGAGCGGCTCTAGATACTGCGTCTGCTTTAGCACCCATGTTCTTGCACGTCTTGTAGTCGCCGAGTTCGCGCAGCTCCATCTCCTCCTCTTCCAGCGCAGGCTCGGAGGTCTTCAACGCTTCCCCGTCCGCCATGTCCATGAGCACGTGCTCTCGCAGCATGATGTCGTACTCCTCCGCGCACTTCAGGGCGAGCGCCATATTCTTTCCTGCCTTGCCGAAGGCCTCGAAGATGCGCCCGTTCCTCTTGATGCCATCCACCAGGGCCTTCGGCGTCTCCTTGGACCGATCGATGACCTTCTTGTTCCTCTGGTTGCGTGACTTCTTCTGGGGCCCCACCTCTGCGTCGATGATCGCATTCGCTGCCTGGAATTGCTCCAAAGATTGAGCCGTCCACGCTGAGCCGTCTGCTCCCTGCTTCTGCTCGCGGCACACTTGTTCCTTCGTGATGTACTTCTCCCCTCCATTGCGAAGCTTCTCCTCGTCGCTCCACTCGATCCACTCCTCTTGCCGGAGGGCCAATTCGCCGTTGACGCGCGCCCTCTTCCACTGGCTTGATTTTCCTCCTTGGTCTTGTTCACGCCCTGGCCCGTTCCTGGCGCGCTCCCTGTGGCACCCCATCATCCTGCAGTGCCCGCGCCACTCGCCGCGTCGGCCGCGCGGCCAAAGCGCGTCGCTGCCGGCAAAGACCACGGGCGGCCCCCTGCGCCCCACCCTCCGAGAGGCCCCTGCTAGTGCCAATGCGCACCTGGGCCGCGGTTGAGCCAGATGAGCTGTGGGGGCTGGTGGCAATCGACGGGGGGGCGGCCTCCTCGCTGAAGTTCCGCGCCGTGTCCAGTGGCGCCCAATGATGCCTCGCAGCGCCGTGGAGTCGCGGCCCACTCTTGACCCCCCCTGTCCGTGACCCATCGCTTTTATATGTCTGTCTGGTGCCCGCAAAGTACGTAGAGGCCCCGGGCGCGCCGCGCCGCCGGAACTGTAAATGTCCACAGGGAGACAGGTAGGTTAAGAAAAACTGAGACATGTCGCGTCGTCGCAAAGGATGACGCAGGCAACTAACTGGGATGGGAGGACTGGTTGCTGCCTGGAAGGCCTCGCCCCAGTGCGCGACTGAGCAACTCTGCCTCCCGTTCAGCCCGAAATTTGAGGGCCAGTTGGTAGACCGTGCCATTCGGGGACGCGTGTCTGAGCATAGCGAGGCGCTCAGCATCCATGCCGATTGCCTCCGACATCTTTTTCCTCATTCGAGAGATGCCGTTTCCCCTGCGCGCTATTGGGCGCTCCTGCGAGGCCCACCTGCACTGGGGGGGCCTCTTGAGGGGCGGTGCCCTCAGAACTCGGAGCGGGTGCCTTCGGAGAGGGGGCCGCGAAAGTGATAGTCCGCGTCAGTCGCGGCCCGGCACCATGCACCGGGGTCCCCGCGCTCCGAGATGCCCTCGCCGACGCAACCGCCACCCCTTCTCCTGGCGGCGCCGACGATGGAACTCGCGTTCCGCAACCCTCTCCAACTCCGTCTTGGGCGCCGCCGACTGCGACTTCTTGCCGCCCGCGAACACGATCAACATCCTTACTGCATTCTTCAAGTTGTGGCCAGAGAACTTGTCGTGCTTCTCCAGGCCCTCTTCCCTCGTGCCTTTCGGGGGCGCCGCTCGAAAGTCGGTGGTCGCGTCGATGCTGATATGGTTATTGCTCATGTCCTCCTCCCAGAAGTACTCGTCCTCGTTCTGCTCATTGTTCTTGCTGCTGCGAGCCTTGCAGCCCTCGCTGACCTTGCGCAGCTTGATCGAATCGTTGACCATGGCATGGCCGTGAGTGTTGCTGCCGTCCATCAACGCCAAGATGTTGTTCAGCGTGTCAATCGCCCGGATCAGAGATGCCCCCACCGACGCGGCATCTTCTTTCTGCGATTCCGCCACTGTCTCTGAGATGCCTTCCATGGGCGCCATCCCTGCGCGGATGCCCGGCGGTCCGAGCAGATGCCCCTTTGCCGCCCCGCTCCCTGACCAACCTCCCGTAGCAGTGGCCCGCTGCCAGTGACTTCCGCAACGCCCATGCGCTGACTGGGTCGAGGTAGGAGCACGTGGCCAGGTGGTTATCTAACGCATGTCTGCCGCGGACCGGAGGGCTGGGCGCTGGGGTCCGCTGATGCATCCTCGCATCCTCTGAGGTCGGGCTCCTCGTAGTCGCACATTGCCTGGGGTTGCTGGCGGGGGGGCCTGCGGTCTCCTCCCCCGCCCTTGCCGCCCCCCCCGCTACTGCGGCCGCGGCCGAAGGCGCGCCCCCTGCCGCCTTGGCGGTTGCCGCGCAAATTGCCCATTGGTCCTTGCCCTCTCCCTTGCCGCCCTCGCGGCGATTCGGCCCCCCTCCATCTCTGCGCCGGCCGCTCGTTCGGGGGGGGAAGGGGGGGGGGGCAGTCGCCAGGAAGCGCTCGCCATCTGTAGGGGGCAAGGCGCTCTGGGAGCCAGGATGGCGGCAGCGGGCGCGCACGTGAAACCCTCCGAGAAGCCGACGAAAGAGGGGGCCTGCACTGGATGGTCCCAACTGCTTCAGTTTGCATAGCAGACCCAGTGGCTCTCCGCGGCCCCCACGACATGGCCAACCGCATTTTCCCCCGCAGCGAACGAGCTCAGGCACAAGGGCACACTAAGCTCGGGACCAGCGGTTGGCAGCGGTGCACCGCTCGCCTGCGCGCCGCCAGCGCCGCCGCCGCTGCAAGTTGCGCCTCGCGCGCCTGCCCCTCCGCGCCCGGCCCCCAAACGCGCCGTGATGGGGGCGGGGAGATCGCCCCCCGTCGGGGACCTCTGGTAGGGCAGCGCCCCATGCCTGCCGAGCGCGTCGTAGTGCGCTGGGGCCCATGCCAACCAAAGAATCCCAATCCCTTGTACCAGTTTGGAACATGGAGATGTCGGAGTGCCCCTGCGGGTGCCAGTTCGCCACGCCCTCGGTAATTTCCGCCAGTGCCTGACAATGTTTGATCACCTGCTGCGCCCAAGGTGTAGACGCCGCGTGCGCGCTTCCATTCTCCAGCCGCTTGATTCCGCAAAGACGATCCAGTTCCGGTGTTCCAGATACCGCCGCAAGTACACTGCCGAAGTCCTCTGGGTGCCGTGCCCATGTCAAGTACCATCGTAGCCTGCGGATGCACAGTGCGGTAGCGCAGCGCGGCATCCTCCACCACTTGAATACCTCATTGTTGGAGTGGCACCTGGTCGACCCATCCTCATGCGTCAAGCGCATCATGCCTCTTGCGATTCTTCTCAATATTTTTGCCATGGCGCGGTCTAGCGCGCCGGAGTGGCGGCCTCCGAGCATGGGCGCCAGCAGCCCGCGAAGGCCCGCGCACGATGCAAATCTGGGATAGTTTTCACATGTTGTCCAAAATATCTGAATACCAAAAAGCGCCCGCACTGCCTGTAGGCCACGCGCATGGCCTCGCGCCTCCTTCAGATTTTTCCCACGCAGCCTTAGTCACCTGGCATGTAGGGGCCCAGCACTCGCATCTCCCTCATCGGCGTGCCTTTAGGCCGCCCTTCCCTGTGAAGCTGTCGCGTGGCCCCGTCTCGCCTTGGACCCCGAAGAGAACCAAGTGGTTGGTCTTGGCTGGGCTATGACTCCACCCTCCCCTGGCCAACTTGCGATCGAGGCGTTCGGCGGTGGCGTCGGCCTGCTCCGCAAACCTGCTCGCCTGAGATTGCCCCCCCCCCCCCACCCCACCCACCCCATCCAAGCGGTGCGCCCCGACGAGCCGAGACGCTCTCGCCGTCGCCCAGGGCTGGCCGGTGCTCCGAGACCCCCCCGCAATCTCGAGTCTGCTCCTGCGTCTGGGAGGGTGGGCCCACGGAGGCCGCCGCGTGGATCTTGGTGATGTCGTCCATGAGCGCGGCGGGCGAAAGGTCGTGATCCCTCTCGGGTTCATTGCGCCGTGCACTGTTTGCATCTCGTCCATCCCCCTCTCTTCCTGACGCCATTGCCCCACCTAGATAGCGTTGGTAATACTAAATTACCGCGGCGCAGAATAAATCCCAGCTGCGCGCCCTGCGCGGTCAGCGCGTGGACCCATTCATCAGCGCATTCCATACTCATCGCAGTCTAGTTTATTGCATCGATTGCGAAGGGCTGATCCTTCTCCTTCGACGCGGCGAAGGACGAGGCCAGCAGGAGGTTGCGCTTCGTGCTCGCATCGGCGCTGGTGCAGGCGTAGTTGCTGGCAGCGGCGCCGACCCCTGCCAGTCTCGCTCTCCATTGCGCAGCGTCGACGCAGACTATCGCATTGCCCCTTGACCTATTCCGAAGGCCGCCTCGCGCCCAGCAAGGGTGGCGCGGTGCTTGGCCTCAGCAGTGGGCCCCCTGGTGAAGAGCCATTCCCATTCAGCAATATGCACGCGTAACTCTGTTGCCTCTAATGCCTCGTTTGTGAATGCCTTTTTCCGCGAAAAAAACATATCCACCCGCGCCAGTCGAACGGCGTTTCTTGAGACTGGCGACACTTGATGAGGATGTCCTCCAGCTTGTTCCTGCGCCCCACCCAGACTTGCATCGGCCGCCGTCGCTGCTGACCCCATCCCAGCCTTCTCGTGCCTCCCGAGGTGATACGCTTGCCTCTCACTCGCTCGCAACGCTTCATCATCGTCAGCTCGTTCCGTCCGCCCTGGCGCATTGCCAGCCCCCCACCCTATCCGCTGCAGCATCGCCCTGCGCACTGTACACTTGCATGGGGAGCTGTACATGACCGCGCCCCCCTCGCCCTCGCCTTGCGCAGCTGCTCGAATCCTCTGCCCCCCCCAGCTTCCTGCCCAGCAGCTCTGGGCCCGCCAGGTTGATCGGGGGATCCAATATCACCCATGTCGGTTCCACTGGGGCGCCCCATGGGAGAACGGCCCTCCTGTTTGCAGCTTTCTGGCAGTACTCTAGCATGTCCCGCGTGCCCACTTACACCTGCGTTCCCAGATCTCCATCCAGTGGTAGCGACATCTGCTCGGCGGTCACCCCATCGCGCCCCTGCCCGCGCCCCCCTAAGTCCCGCGGCGCCGCAGCCGCCCCCATCGCGGGGACCTTCCCCAGTTCTCAAAGCCACTCCTCTGCTCCCCACCAGGAGCGCGCCGAAAAATCATACCTCTTCGACCCTCCCCCATTCCGCTGGCACCCTGCACGTAGTCTGTGCATCTCGCTGAGGTCGGCGCCCTCGCACGCCCGCCAAAACCCCTCGCCCCCCCCCCCCCCCCTGGCGGCCTCTAAGTCGTTCCGATGCTTCCGAAGCACGTTCTGTATATGCGGTAGCTCCTCTTAGATCTCCTCCATCCTCTCGTTCGTCTCTGAGTCCACCATGTCCACCCTCAACCGCATCCGCTCTGCCAGTCAGGACCGTCGCAATTTCTGAATGGCTGCCAATCCATGGTCCTCTTTTTTCATCTTAGTTGGGAAGATCCCCTTCATCGCTTTTCTTCCAGCTTCACTCCATCTCTTCCACATCTGGTCTGCTGTTGGACGGTCTTGGAGTTGCCACCACCACCCTGCCGCCGTTCGCTCATCAGGGTCCGCGCTCCGAGATTCCCCCGCTAGTGGCGGTCCCTCCGAACTCGCTTGTCGAGGCTGCAGGGGCAGCGCCGCGCCGCCCGCCTAAGTCGCTCTGCGAGATGGCCCCGCCAATGCTCCTCCTGGCTGCGGGGCAGCCGCCGCGGCTCGCCCGCCAGGGCCCGCGCTCCGAGATCCCCCCGCTGGCGGCGGTCCCTCCGAGCTCTCCCGCCGCGGCTGCGGGGGCAGAGCCGCGCCGCCCGCCTGGGTCGCGCTCCAGGAAATCTCCGTTAATGCGCCCCCCGGTTGCGGGCCGACCGCGGTCTTCAGGGCGCGGTCAAATTATCCCAGAAACTCTGCTCGCAGACGCCCTTTGCTCAAGGACTCCATCAGCGTGCTGCGGCCCACATCTGTGTCTGCCCTCTGCTGTCTAGGCCTACCCCTGACATGAAACTGATGTTCTATACCGATGTCCAGGCCCAGTGGAATCTGGTATCGCTGCCATTTCGCCTTGATAAGTTAAGCTGGTTGGCCACTCCCCGTAGGGCTGCATGCCGTCGCGCGCGCGGTAGGGCTCCAGTCGGTATCGCAACGTCGTCCATCGTACTCGCGCGCGCATTGCCGTCATTGACACAATACTAAATCCGCCCGCGCTCGTGAAAAGCCGTGCGTGAATGTGGACGGAAGCCTGCGCGCACAAAATTTCATGGTTTCTGCGCCGTTGTCAGTTTCCACCTCTCTTGCAACTTGTCGCAGTAATGCTGCACGCTTGGCCGAACAACGCCTGCTGACCACCAGATCCCTGTTTTCAGTCCTGTGCATTCTCATATGGCAAATGCGTCACACATAAAATGGCACTGTTAGCCTTGCTACGCAATATTACTCCTGCTGTTCACCCTTGCAGTTGAGCAAGTAGAGTGTACTGCATGTCGAGCGCATTGTCTTTCATCCTCTCGTGGGACACCACGAACGTCGTCCCGCATGCCTGAAAAGAACTTCCCTTTCCTGCCCCAAACTGCAGTGCCACAGGGTATCTATGGATGGTGTTCGTCATCGGTTCTGGCCCTGCCCACTGATGCGTACCACTCAGCACAACTCACATCCCATTCCCGAAACGCACTGCGAGTTTCGTCCAATCGGTCCGTGGTACTCGCAACGGGCGGGTTGTAAAATATCAGCTTCATCAGTGCGCAGATCAAGATCCAAGCAATCGCCATCCGTCCTTGTTGTCCCCCCTACTCCCTCTCCGACCCGTAAAAGTGCGGGACGGGAGTCGCGTGAGTGAGTTTCATTGAAAAGCTTCCCTCCGTCGGGGCTCCAAGTGCCTGAGCCTCCAACGCCGACTGGGAGGAGGGGGGGAGGGGGAGGAGGAGGGGAATAAGAGGAAAGGGGAGGAGAGGAGTAAAGCGGGGACCCAACACGACAGGATGTTTGGGAATGAAGTTGTTCTTTGCTGTTCAAAATGGCGTTCACATTTTAGCGCCGCGCGCCAAGGTCTCAGACGTGTGCAACGGCTTCAGGGATGGATGAATGCATGGGGTCCGTTTTCACAATGGGGCTGCCGCACCAACGCCACGTGTAGTCGCCGAATAAGTTCGCAGTACTTAAAAGGATTGTGGACGGCTCTTTTTCAAAATGAAGCTCTCGCTTTTACTCGCCTGAGCTAAAGACAAAAAAACATCACGTGTAATAGTGCACGGGTCGAAAGCGGCCTGTTTTGACCATGCAGCTCTAGCGTAAGGCTTCCTCGAAAATCATGGCCACAAGTGCAAATGTGTGCAACACTTACCCGGATGGTGGGGCGGTCCGTTTTCGAAAGGGGGCTCTCACGGAGATCTCGCTGAATTGTCTGATGACACTGATTCGCCCTCCTGGCCCTGCGCGAGACGAATGCCAGGCGGCTATGTCCCAACCTTTTTTGCGATGGGTTCTCGCTTACGTAAAGCACTGTGATATCCGTCCTCCTTCCCGTCTCCTCTTTTTTTCACTCCTGCCTCTTACCTCGTTATCCTTCCTCCTACGTGCCTATGCCTGTTTGCCCTGAGCTTCGCCAGCGCAGAGGGGCTGTTAGCCGCGCAATCCCTGGGAGGGGAGGGGGCGATCTGCGAAACTGTCGCCGCTTTCGAGGGCTTTTGGGGGTCCAACGGACCCACGCGCTACGAAGACTCAGATTCGATCGCGCCATCTCTGGGGGGGGGCTGCGAACTGCCAGGCCGTCCCCGTGTCCTTTTTGGTGCTGCAGTCGGCCCGTATCATAAGGATTCGCGGTAAGGATGCAAGGGCCTCGGAGGGCCACATGAACGTCTTTAGAACGATGCCAGCCAGCGAAAGTCGCTAAGGATTGGCCGAAGGGGCAAGGACGAAAGGGTACCCTTGGGAAGGTCGCCCATCCTTACTATGCGGGTGGACTGTGCGTGATCACTTGTGGGTGGACTGTGCGTTATCACTTGTGCCCTTAGCTGCCCCGATACGCAACACGCAACACGCAGCGTATGGATACGGAGCTCAACACGTAGACTGAACACGTACGTTTTGAACACGGGCGCTTCGAACACGGCACGTGTCACGTTTCAGAAGGTGCGTCCCTGAGCTGCTGAGCTTGTGTCCTTCGCATCACTCCTCCTCCTGACGTTTCTGACGTTTCTCGCTACACAGCGTCTTACTCCTCCTCCTCTTCCTCCTCCTCCTCCTCCTCCTCCTCCTCCTCCCCCTCCTCCTCCTCCTCCCACGAGCGCCGCGGGCCCCTCTGCCACGGGTGCTCTGTGGTCGGGAGCCGGCGCGCCCCCATCCACGCCCCCGGG